GAAGTGCATGATCAGGATAATTATATATCAGACCATTCCTTCTAGTTATACACTTTCTAGACGCACTACTTTGCCGCATAAAAAAACCTCGACAATCTAAAAGTGAGAAATATGGTAAGAAAAACGCACCTCACATGCCGATTATATTGAAATGATAAACTTTGAGATAATCATTTATATATTTACGAGATTATTGACTTACAGATAAGTCTGTATTTGCCTGCATTAAATCTGCTCTCCACGACGCAAACTTTATTATGCACGAAATCAAATCAAAATTAATCGAAGCATGCAACCTAAACTAGTAAGAAAGTTTAAAAACTACAGTCCTTGAAGAATTATTTGGTTGCATTATTCTAAGTGACATCGGTTGATTAAGACAATGGAAGCAACTGCAATTGAAAAATGTATAATACGAAATCGAGGCTCTAACGCTTTATGTTGTCGGGCATGTCTATATATCCGACCCAGCAGTAATAACAAGCCGTTTCAGCGTGTATATATAGCAAATTAACCCATTTCAAATCACATGGTCTGAAATGGTTTTATTGGCTATTACAGGCAAGCTGAAATGTTTATTGTTCTACTGTTTTGACACTTGCATTCGCCTTATACTTTCTGTCGCTGTTAGGAATAAAAACACATGGTGATTTGTTTGATGAATAACAAACAAAACCCGAGATATTACGCCGGAAGTCCTGTCTAAAAACGTTTATGTCCTTACGTGCATTTTTTCATCCTATGTATAATGCCTGCAAAGGATTGTGGGTAAATCAGCATGCTGCTTTGCTCTTCTCCAGAATTTACCATGCAAGAATACCTCAAATGTTATTATCAGTTTTTGATATTTGGAGAAGGATAAAAGTTATCCGTCAGTGAAAATCGAAACCACATGTATATGGCTGTTTGCCATTATCGCTGCACGGCCCTGGCGTGCATTGCAAAACGTCTTCAAAAGATTTGTTACCTTGATTGAGACGTTGAGCAACTCAGATAATTACTAAACTTAGTTTTTATTGAGGATTATGAAAAAGTCCCTTCGAAGAAAAGTTTAAACATCGTTATTGGAAAGCCAACTGGATATGATCACTACAGTACATTACAATTTTGTGATTAGAATGCTCGTGTAGAAGCAGGTATCATAGTTTTCGACCTTGGTTATCAGTTTAAAGGTTGCATAACTAACAGTTTGAATTTAACGTCCTTGATAAAAAGAAAGTTGGTCGAGGTGGAATTTTATCTAATGAAATTTTTCGCTTAATTTTTTTGGATTACATGTGGGAAGTCTCCGAAGCGAATCCACATTAAGAAAAAAATTTAAAAGCGAAAAATTTGCCTCGTGGAAAACCACCTTGAATTAAGCCGCTTAAATAAAAGTGGATGCAATTCGCAGGATCTTCAACGAGATAGTAAAATATTTTACCTTCAAACGCCAATAGCGACATACCACAGACGATTAACCAGGTATAAAATAGCAAAGACATCTAGTTGCTGAGTTTTTACTTAGCGCATCAATATCGTTATGCGAGGAGTGAAGATGAAAGTTTAAAGCAGCGAGTGACTCTCAAGTGTCGTGTTGGACTGAATAAAATCCTGCGGAAACAGGAAATGAGGTGATAATGTTAATGAAATATCAAGGATTGATTCGGATTTCGGTGAAAATTTCTAAACCAATGAATAATGTCTTGTTACATCTTTCAGATTTAAATTCTACTAGGATCTGGTATGGACCCAAAGATCATTACGTTCAGCTACAATTCCAACTATAAACTGAAAAAGATGGTTTATCACAGGTTATGAACGCATGCATGATCAGCTATTGCATGTTAACCCAAACAAGACTGTTCAATTCACTCATGCAATTTTTTCATTCATGCATTTGGCTTATGAAAAGGTTTAATTTCCTGGCTGAAATCAATATGCTTCTAAAAAATTTTTTTTCGTTACATTTCGGCTAGTCTTCTAGAATTAGTCCATGTATTATACAGACGGATATTAGCAAAAAAATTGCTTTGTCCATCTTATCCTTATACAACATTATCTATGATGAATTAAACATATTCACTAAACTCTGTATTAAACACCCCTCTCCATTAAGATGACTTTGATTATCTTTCATGCCGGGATGTTTCAATACCTGGTAAACGTTTGCTAGTTCTTTGCTCTCGCTCAACGTCATGTAGTCCGATGATTCTTCTCCTTTCTCAGTGCCACGTACACCCTCATTTCGCTCAATTTCTTCAATAACATCATTTGTAGTCCCACCAATGTACCCACCTTTGCTGACATGTGGGGACACCTACTTCTGGGGACATAGCTTTTAATAGCTAGTACACATTTCATACTTTTGCTGCAATTTATTTAGGTGTCTTACCTTAGGTTTTTTGCTTAAAATCCTGGTTTAAATCAAGTTTATATCACACAGAATTGTGGGGACATTTTTGTCATCACTTGTGGGGACAAGGTGTGTACCCACTAGTGGGGACAGTTGTGTATTTAGATTTATGGGGACACTTTGTGTGTTCCCATTGCAGAATTGCCTGAGTTTAAAAACTTGCGGGGACAGTTACTTTTTACATGTTCCGATGGTAGGGGTAAGGATGATCCTACATCTTTCAAGCTTTATTCAGGTGATTTTGTATTAAAAAGTTATCGAAGAAGATTTAAGGGAATGTAAGGATGACTTTCGAACGAATATTATAAAAAAACCCATGTTATTCAATGTAAACATATGACACCAACGACACTAATCGGCAAGTAAAATCAAATCTAGTGATTTAAAGACTAGTCGTGGGCATCTTCATAATTTTATTGATAATTCAACTACAGTCCATTGCTATTTATTTGCTAAATGAACTCAATTTAGAATCTAAAGTACTGATTTTACAAGTCGAACTTCTTTTTCAAAGCTATGTAAATTAAGGTGATATAAGAAGACATAAGAAGAAATATATAAAAAGCTTTTCATCCATGCATCTTGATCTAAACTATTAATTTATTAGAATAATTTACTAATTTATTTATTAATTTAAGAGAGTACATGGACTATACAAAAACGTTTAGAAACGGCAAATTAGAACTGAAGCAAGAGGCAGTAATTTTCGTCTAATTTCGCCGTGTGTAATCCTATAATCGTATCACTACAACCCCAACGTTCAATCCTATATACTTATGTCCCCACAAGTCCAGTGTGCAATCCTATACTAATGTCCCCCCAATTCCAGGGTGTAATCATATATACTTATGTCCCCACAAGTCCAGTGTGCAATCCAATACTACTGTCCCCACAAGTCCAGTGTGTAATCCTATACTAGTGTCCCCACAAGTCCAGTGTGCAATCCTATACTAGTGTCCCCACAAGTCCAGTGTGTAATCCTATACTAGTGTCCCCACAAGTCCAGTGTGCAATCCTATACTAGTGTCCCCACAAGTCCAGTGTGCAATCCTATACTAGTGTCCCCACAAGTCTAGTGTGCAATCCTATACTAGTGTCCCCACAAGTCCAGTGTGTAATTCTATACTAGTGTCCCCACAAGTCCAGTGTGTAATTCTATACTAGTGTCCCCACAAGTCCAGTGTGTAACCCTATACTAGTGTCTACACAAGTCCAGTGTGCAATCCTATACTAGTGTCCCCACAAGTCCAGTGTGTAATTCTATACTAGTGTCTCCACAAGTCCAGTGTGCAATCCTATACTAGTGTCCCCACAAGTCCAGTGTGCAATCCTATACTAGTGACTCCACAAGTCCAGTGTGTAATCCTATACTAGTGTCCCCACAAGTCCAGTGTGCAATCCTATACTAGTGTCTCCACAAGTCCAGTGTGTAATCCTATACTAGTGTCCCCACAAGTCCAGTGTGCAATCCTATACTAGTGTCCTCACAAGTCCAGTGTGCAATCCTATACTAGTGACTCCACAGGTCCAGTGTGCAATCCTATACTAGTGTCTCAACAAGTTCAGTGTGCAATCCTATACTAGTGTCTCCACAAGTCCAGTGTGTAATCCTATACTAGTGTCTCCACAAGTCCAGTGTGCAATCCTATACTAGTGACTCCACAAGTCCAGTGTGCAATCCTATACTAGTGTCTCCACAAGTCCAGTGTGCAATCCTATACTAGTGTCTCCACGAGTCCAGTGTGCAATTCTATACTAGTGTCTCCACAAGTCCAGTGTGCAATCCTATACTAGTGTCTTCACAAGTCCAGTGTGTAATCCTATAATATAGTGTTCCCACAAGTCCAGTCCTATAATCGTGCCATCAAAAGTCCAGTTTGTAATTCAATAATCGTATCGCCACGAGTCCAGTGTGCAATTCAACGCATATGTTGTTGTTCCCACAAGCTACACAGGTTTGTATTTTGTAGTAATCTGTCCCCAGAAGTTCAGTAATCTAAAAATTTGTGTCCCCACAAGTCTAGTGTATAATTGCTCGTGTTTCTGCAAGTCTAGGATTCTCTAAGATGTAATGTATGATGATATGTTAACAAGGACAAATATACGCCGATTGCAACGAGAAAGTTGTATCGTTTATCTGAGAGTAACTTCAATTATTTCAATAAAAAATGCATTGAACCTTGTTAGTAATATCAAACATCTCTTCATTCTAAGAATTTATTCACCCGAAAAAAGAATGGTTATATGATGTAGTTCTATTATAAATGTATTGTTCGCCTAAACTCAACATTCAATGCAATTGAAGTTATTGGACAAAGGAAAAATATTGCCCAAAGTATTGGACAAAGGAAAAATATTTTAATAACAAACAAAAAAGGGTATATTTTATCTAGTATACAAATAACCTTTTTTTAAATACAAATAACGAAAGTAATACACTGCCAGTAAACTGCGTGTTGGAAAATATATTTACAAAATAATGTACAATGTAATATGTATAAGAATGTAGTACAAAATTTTCGACAATATTTGGATGCTCTGGTACCACTGGTATTTGGTTTCGTGAGATTTAGTTCACATGATATTCATTGCAAAATTAAAGGACTATATTAGTAAAAACATTTCTACTGACTTTGGGATCGAATTTAATTTTTTCTGAAAAAGAATAAGTCCGGCAGCATGTACATTTTGTATTTTCCGTGCAAATTGGGGTAGTCGATGTGATAACAGTGCTTTAAATATAGCTAAAATCAGAATGCCGGATTTACAAAATAACCATGTAGTGATTTTTGAAGTAATTCTAAAGGCAAAGCCATTTTAAGTTATTACAAATCCTTATTATTGCCAGTGTGCAACTAGCTATGGAACTTTGTAAAAAATAATAACACTTATTGCTATGTTTGTTCATTAACAATTGACTAGATTAATTTCAAACCAAAATTGTACGCAGGAAGTAATTATCGAATTATCGAAATTATCGAATTACATTATAATTTTGATATTTAAGATAACTAAAGCATGTAGTTTGTCATGATTAATTAAAGTGACATTGACATGTTTCATCCTATTACGAAAATTGCAGCAACTCTAAAAAATACCCAGAAATCGGTTGGAGAGCGCTAAGATAGTGTTATTTACATATATCTGCATGATTGTTTCGATCTCTTCGTTTTTGACGTGGCAAAACATGCAAATTAATGAATGACACTCTTAATAGTTACGCGATCACAAAAGTTATAGGAATTGAAGTAACGGCTCAAACTACATTCTTATACACATTACCTCAGATACATCGCTATCTAGCTCTAGCAAACACTTGGTGAAAGTGTTCCTTCCCAGATAATTTATGTTCGTTTAAATACTAAAATTGGGCAAAAGTGCCCCACCCTTGTCACAAAAGGGTTCAAATTTTGTGTGCACCTAGCTGTCAATATTCCTCCCCATCTTGACCAATTTGGCTTTTACTATTTCGGCAATTGACAATTTTGCATGCTTTGTAGCGAGAACTTGTCAAATTTCCATCAGAAATTCAAGACATTGATTATCATAATGCCAGGATTTCGTAATCAAAGATACCTAACTCGTTATAAAAGAGTTATATAAGGCACGAGATAAAATTTGAAATTAAAGCAATTTTTATCTTACATATTGCAGTTAGCTCCAGCAATATGATGGTTAGCAAGTTGCTAAAATGACATTACTGAGGAATCTGTTAAAGATAAGATGCCGTGCTTATATAATTCTATTATAACAAGGGAACCATCTTTGATTGCGAAATCCTGGCATTGTGGTAATTAATGTCTTGAATTTCTGCTGATGCTGTCACAAGGAAATCTATTTAGTATCCCATATTACTTGTATGATATTGAATAAAAGCAGAACCGCATAATGTCATCTTGTAGGCGGCTGTGCGTTGTTATGAAATAACAGACGAACGTTTTAGGGAATTGATTCTGTACCTGCTTCAAATTTTAATTCATAATGTTTAATCGATTATCGTAACATTCGATTGATTGTCACGATAACTTAATTCATGATTTGATAATTAAATAATTTTGTGCCAATTGGTTGTTTGCAATGACGTAATGCAAGGAATTATTAAAACGTGTAATTCAAGGTGTAAAAGGTGGTGACTAAACACAGATCATTACTTTAGCTTGTGACTTAACTCTTTGTGTTTTTTCTTTTCGTTATCTGATTTTTAATCCAATACTTCACACTTTTACAATCGCGATCTTTCAGGACGTCCTTTCCTTTTAGGATACAGTCACAACTTTCTTTCTTATTCGGCACCCTTCCTTGTCGAATAAGATGGCCCAAGTGGTCTAATACACACTTCTTTTCCTCCTTTGACCACGTTAGATCTACTTGTTTACCTAAATCAAACATAATAATGAAATCTGATCCATGCATAGTGTCTTTAGCATTTTATTTTAGCGTTAATCCTGAGTTCTCAATGTTCGTACAAGGTAAAGAACATCTTTTAACTTGAAGGTGTTTTTGAAAGTCTGTATGTGAATTTTATGTGCTTTTAGTCGATAATTTGTATTAAAATTTTGAAAATATACTCCCAAAATATTTGCAGTAGATTAAGGAAAGATTAGTGGAAAAGTGAGATCGGATAATTTAATAGTCAAGTACAAGTATTACTACATTCAAACCAAATTTTAAAATTGATCAATTTCTTTCCTTATAGTTTGGTATAGAATTTATATCATCAGATGCATTAACATTTGGATTGATCTTATTTTCTACTCTATAAATCCCAAGAGAAATACAGAACAGGCGCTTTAAATTTAGAAGACGTTATATAGACAGGAAATTTATGCTAGACCTGCTTCAAAGTATTTAACAATTATTGAATGAAGTTCAACATGATACGAAGAATTATCAAGTCAAAGTTTGTGGTTGAACATTACAAGAATGAACAGTCGCCGTAGAATTGATGTCGTCGCCATTGGACTGACGTAAGATACGACTATTTATCGCTATGACGTAATAGCGTGCATGAAAAAAGTCGTATCAGACGTTATGACGTCACACGTTGGATATGACGATTTCACACATGCCTATTGGCCAATCAGAGGCAGTGAATTCTTCTAAATAAATAATAATTTTAAATGGCATGCATGACGTCCGGTGAAATGGAGTGCAGTTATTGCTGAGAAGAATTTTCATTATTTTTCAGGTTAACCATAAAATTTAATATTTTGTTTTGTTTTCTAAAATACCTCCGTCCAATATTTATCGGTAAAGAGCTCGTGCTCGGTTAATAAGAAGTTAACAATGAAAGGAACGACTAGTTTGGGGTTGATTTGCTGATTAAAGTTTGCTCGCCTGCAATGACGAGTAACGCTACAAAGCCGACAAATGGCGACAACAGAAAAATTTGCCGGGTGAACACGACAAGAAAACCAAAGAAGAACCAAATCAAGTGAGACCGCGCTTCTTACACTATATCGTAAGGGTCTGCCACTAACTGTGGTTGTAATTTGTTGGTGGCTGATATCGAAGGAATAAAACTCGACATGGTAATCATGCAAAGGCTGATTGAGTCAAATAACGTGTCTCAAATTTATGTGCTAAATATGCTGCTAAGCGGAAAAGATGAAATAGTCTAAAACTAGACCTTTAAAAAGAAAGAGAAAGGCGTAGAGAGCTCGAATATAATTATCTTGGTTGAGGCAAGAAACGGGGAAGAAGAAACATTAAACAATAATATTATCTCACTTCAGATCATATACCAAAGTTAGGCTCAACTGTTCAACCAGAAAAAATACGTGTCAAAAGAACCAATTGCAGGAGCCTCTCTAGACAATCTGCAATCTGCGTAGACACGAACGAGAATACTGTCCATTACGAGAACAAGAAAGAAACATGTCTCAAACATATTCGGACAGTCAAGAAATATAATTCCCTGACGATGTCTCAACAACTTCTACTCAGCAATCTGGAAGTTCGACGAGGGCTGGCTTATAATCTAGAGAAGAAATGGATCCCTGGATACCACTAATAGAAGCAGCAAAACAAAGAAGTAACACAGCTTTCGAGGAAATAAAAGAACGCCTTATAAACAGTGGTTTCGATGAGCACTCTGATATAAAGAGAAAGCTTCTTGAATATTATGCCTAGACTCCAGAAAGAATTAGAAAGTATCTATTTAGAACGCCTTTTGTGGATGAGGCAGAAAATACAATAGCTCGGTGTCTCTCCAACAGTCCACAAATGGTTCAAGAGCTATCTATCGGAGAGATCCCAATATGTCCGAATAGGAACCACCACCTCAGCACCTGCACCACTAACACATGGAATACCCTCAAAGAATTCCTCAAGGCCGTTTTTGTTCAACCTCTACACGGACTGTCTGCCGTCAGTCCAGGAAACGAGCATTATAGAATCTTATGTGAATGATTCAAAATTTTTCTATTCTACTCTCTACCAACCCTGAATTTTTCTCTGTGAAGGATACAGGGGGACTTGCATAGAGTATTCGAATGGTGCTGTAACAACAGCGTACTGATAAACCCTGACAAAACCAAAATGATGGTGTTTGGTTAACAAAAATTACTTCAATTACAACTAGATGATTTACCCAGAGTCGACTTTATCGGGAAAATATTTGAACCTGTCCCGGAAGTTTAAGACCTCGGCACAATATTAGCTTCCTTCTTTAACCGTATAGTCAAACCCTGGAACAGAGTGTGCAAGGATGTTGATCCTAAAACTTTCTCCAGTCCCATTACTTTTACAGCCTTTCTTAAATGTACCTATATTCTCGTCTTCTTCAGACAGTCTATGATGATGTTTTGTCCTGTGTATGTGGTCCTTGGTACGCGACTGTCCTTGTCACAGGACTTTGTTTTTTTTGTTTTGTATATTTCTAGATGTATATGTCCTATTTGTTTTTTTGCATGTCTTGAATTTAATAACTTTTAACATACAGTATGTGCAAGTAATTTGTAACATTTATGTACATAAAATCTAAATTCTTGGGAGGTGCCTTGCATGGGTCCTTTTTCAAGTGTCCCGTTCGTACCTTGCCTTTTTGGATCTTCAATGTTTATAATTTCGTATGTGACTTGTATAATTGAATTATTATGCCATATGTAGAGTATTTTGATCCAAATAAAACTTGTAAAACAATACTCGACTACAAATTGAAATATCAAGAGCACGTGAAGTATCTATCATCATCATGTATATCCAAAATGGGCCAGATTAGCCGAGCAAAGCACTTGTTTGACCAATCAACACTAATCACCATCGTAAATTCTCTAACTATGAGCAAAATACACTGTAAGCTATTGCTCATCGATATGGGCTAACCACTGAGTCTAACCTGTCGTCTAACACCTCGGAAGTCAACATGCAGAAAATCCAGCCAATTCAGAATTGTGCGGCCAGACTTAATTATCTCAGGAAAATCTAAAAATGACCATGCTTCTCCATTGCTCAAAGATCTGGGTTGGCTACCAATAAAAGAATATAAATAATCAAGCACGCTCATATTTATGTGAGAAGTTTCCAAAAAGAAATCAAATTAATGAACTCACCACCCGAAATCAAAATAAACTTAATTGACATTCAAAAGTATGGGGCTGCGACAGGACAGAAAACATTCAAATATAGAGGAACGAGTATTAGGAACTCATTAGATGAGGAATTAACCTCAATTCACAATCTAAATCATTTTAAATATAACAGGTCTTTTGGAAGGCAACATACGATTATAACCTGTAATTGACATGATAGAACAAATTGTTTTTAGAGCTGTAAAGTGTTTATGTGCAAATGTAAATAGTTTTAGGAATAGACGATGTAAATAGTTTCTATCATTTGAATAAATGATGTGAATACTTATAGTAGTTTAGTTAATTATTCTTCTTTGTGAATTGTTATCTAAAACCCCGATCTGGAAATAGCATTGGATTTCGTTTTAATAATAATAATATTATAATAATAATAACCCAATCATTGGATAACTAAACAATGTTGTGCCGATTGGTTGTTTGAAAGGACGTAATGGGAGGAATTTATTAACGTGGAAATAACAAAAATTAGATATTGTAATAAAGGTCCCAAGCATAACTTGTCTCTTTAGTTGACCCTGTTTAATTTAATGTTACTAATCACTAAATTGTGCATTATAACAGCATTTATACCTTTTTGTATTGAAAGTAATAAAAAAGGATAAATAATATTAATAAATAAGGTGGCTTACATTTAGATTTTGCTGCTGAACCACTGCGTACTTTTGAACCATGTGCCTTGTAAGATTGTCCTATAATAGGAGACCATATACTTTATATCCATTGAATAGGGAACCATTGGTGAACAAAGAACTCCTCAAATTTCAGTGAAAATTTTTTTTGCATCGTTCTTTGTTGTTTGAATGCGAGTTATAGCGTCAAAAGCCACCAGTAAATGTTTTAAACGTTATGATAACGGGTATGCCACACTGATACTATGGTCACATTGATTGTAAATTATAGTAGAATTATAGTGACGTGAAGAGGTATTTAGAGAGCAAGGTGAATGAGGCAACTAACATGAATTACCTAAGCTTTTTTATGTGGTGTACATGTAGTCTGTGTAGTCAACAAACGCTTTGAGCCTTTTATTACATTTCCAATTTGCTATATAACTTCAAATATCATATCATATTTTTTTCGCTATACTAAAAAAATATGTGATAGTATAGAAATCGCTGGCTTGGTGACAGGGAACATTTGCGTATTAAAATTAATAAATTATCCTCAACAACTATGATCAGTATCCAGTGACATGCCAATTTGGCACAATATCAAAGTGCTCATGCATTATTTAAATCGAAAATCATATATTTCTGGACAGTACTGTAGTTTTGAGATCGTCTCAAAATCTTGCATTTTTAAGCTGCCTAGACTGGTTAAACGCAATTGATTGAGAAGATCTGGAATGCACATTATTACATCATATCTCTCGCTATGCTTGATGAGTTTGGGAAACGTCCAGCCCATGCAGGGGCGGATCTAGGGTAAGTCCACTTAGTCCAGTCAGTCGCGCGGTCGGCGTTAGATCATATCGAACTAACGTACCATTACGTCCTACATTGCGATACGGAAGCATGATACCGGGAAATAATTAGAATTTGATTTTGTCACGGAATTTTAATTTATTGCGTGAATCGTAATTCGTAAAATACAAATAACGTGAGATGAAAATGGCAGAAGTTTGTTACGGTTTAGGAATATTCTATTAATTTCTATTTATTATTACTCAATATATCTATATTTAACTCACTATTTCCCGAGGTGTAGCGTACATTAAGTGTTTTGTTATAAAGGAACAGAAACATACATGTTATACACGATAATTTCATTTCAAAAGAGTTTGTTGACAATATGCGGGCAACAATTTTTCACTTGTTTCTCTAGCGGGAAACATTGCATTTATTTAAAGTCATGTGACTGCGAATGAACTAATCACATTTAATTGATTTAAAATACACAGCACCTTTATAAAAACATGGAATTATTTTCATGTATACCTTTTGTTCAGAAAATAATATGTTGACTTTATTATGAAATAAGAAAGAAATTGGTTTCAGAGATTTCAAGATCTATAATTTTCTCAAGGTGAAATGATATTCCAATAAATATAGGCATAATAAAATATAATGTACATCTATCATCATATATTTATCTTTCATAATCGTCCTATGCTCAGTATAATTATCATGGTTATAAAACTAGTCCCGTCGTAAAATGGACTAAAATGGAAAAAGGCTTCTTACTCATCACTCGTTGGAGTCGTTGGAATAAGTGTATGTAACTCGTTGCAGTGTAATTTGCATTATATGGAAGTGTGCGATGCATTTTATAATATTCGCGTCTATTTATAGCATATTATGTTTGTTATGATTTGCATGGTTTTAGGGTTTTGTAAAGTTCTTGTACGCTTAATCGAAATATTTCTGCTTATTTCATTTGAGGATATTGTTTAATTTGTGTAAAATCAACTATTGCTATTATAAGGGGGGAGTACGAAGTTGTGTGTTTTGAAATATGACCCTCGCTAGTCACTAACTTTGTTAATAAATCCACGAGGCATCTATAATACGCTGTTTTTTATTAAAATAGCGGAAAAATTGTGATGAACCCTAAAATTACCCGAAATAATCAAACTCCGATCTGCCAATTTGAAAAATTTTCTCAAAATTTCTGAATCTGGACTTATGTTTGAAAAATTCTAGATCCGCGCCTGGTCCAGCCTTCCTCCGTACATGCCTTCCTGCAATATGTTCATTTTAGAATTGTCCGAGTGGCAGTTACGAGGAGACCTTGGCGTATCAGAAGTGCCTCAAGATGTTTGGTTGGCCATTAGATCTCTCGCGAGCTCTATAAATTGTTGGTTTGACAGAGGTTCTTTCCGCGCCCGTTTACGAATTTTATTGCCATTATTTGCGTTGCTAAATATCGTATAAGGTCTCAACTAAACCCAACCAGTTGTTGTTTGGCCTTATACAATATTATACACAATATTTAGCTGTAAAATGAAAAAAGGCATCCGTTAATGTTATGTTAATTATTGTGGAAAAGTAATTTGCCATATTTAATGCAATGTTGTTCATAAAACAATCGATTAACCTTACCGGGTAGCCACTCATCGTCAGCCTTGTCAAGAAACCTTGGTTTCTTTGATTTGGATGCTGAATAAGTTGGGATAAGAATACGTTGAATTGAGCCCCTCTGACCCTGTCATCTCTCTAGCAATCTCAATATAATATACTCAGCACCAGTCTTTGCAACTGACCCCCTGTGGTGTAGCGTCGCAGAAGTTTGTGGTTTTTCAGCATGTACAGTACTATTACAGAAAATAATATAACATCTTAAATTAGTCTATATACAGGGTGTATGAAAGAGGGCAACCACTTATATTCATGAATATCCAATGTTTCCCAACACAAAAGACAAGGCATGATAAGCCATTTTATATTAATTTTAGAGGGTATATATAGGTTACTCCAGTGAACTCTATATATATGGAAGGCTCGCTCTCATTGCGTAATCTAAAAGTCAAACATGGCGGATCATGAATGCTGCTTGGTTACCGAACTAAAATTTGATATGGCGACGTATAAAAGTGCAACTCGATCAGTTTTGTAAACACAAAACAAATATACGACACAATTAACCTATGTATATGTATCATATATATATATATATATATATATATATATATATATATATATATATATATATATATATATATATATATTTCGTGATAATTTTATAATTCGTGCCTTTTAACGCCATTAATTTCCACGCGCAGTTCGCGCATTTTACGCCTCGTGGAGGTCTGGTTCGGTACCCAGCCTTCATGATCCGCCATGTTTGGCTTCACACTTTGAACTGGAGTGAGCCTTCCATATATAGAGAGTTCACTGGGTTATCCGGTTACCTTCGTCACTATTAGTTTCCTCGCAATCACCTTTCTCATCTTCACTCAGTTCTGGCTCGGATATATCTACAGAATTAACAGCAATATAGCATTGATTCATGCCGTTCGAAGAATTGCAAATCGCAAAATTAGATTTACTTTTCTGATAAAAATATTTATACCAAAAAGTTGCGATTTTTTTTTTAATTCTACCCCTATTTTTTTGTTAACATAGTTTAAAGTTCCATTTTTCTGAGTAGTTTCATGAAATGAAAAATACGGCAAGGTTATAGTGGTGAAATTTTGTTCCTAAGTAAAGACGGAAAGAGGAAAAAAGGCCACCCCACTGTAAAAGCCTGGCTCCTTTGAACAAATTTCCGTAAAATATTGATTAATAGATGGGGGGTAATTTTTTCTTGTAACAAGAAACTCGCTTTCAAAAAATCAATCTAAGTCATGTTAGATTTTGATAAATTGTACAGTGCCTTAAGACATTTTGATAAAGTACTGAAATGAGTGTTATTCTTAAAGATAATATGGTTTAATTATAGGAATGACTTTGTGTACATTCCGTCGTAATAAGTCACCTTCGAGTGTTATTTCCTCTAGAGATTTGCCTTTCAATGAACATGCCCTTCCACTATCCACAGCTAGCAGAAGTTTGCTGATTTTCGCAATCTCAATCGTTGATCCGTGAAGCCGATAATACTCTCGATGAGTACGGATGTCGTGCCCGAGGTGCTTTGCTAGCCAATCTAGTTTCTTTTCTTCCAGAGAAAGAACCTGCGTGATGGTCAAGATGTATTTTCGCAGTTTTGTACTGGTTATGGCGTCGGGATTCTTTAACTTGGGCTGACATTCCGTAGCACAGTACCTCAGGCAGTCCCATCCTCTTAGTGGTTCCAAGGAATCTCTGTTTACCCGAGCAAAGACATACCCATTCTCCTCGTTTATTCCAACTTTAGATCGCAACGAGTTGAGAAGGTGAATGATGGGAACTTTGCGACCTCGTTTCCCTCTTGTTTCAACCATATTGAGGCTGTAGTGATAAAAATATGTAAATATATATAAGATTTTATAAATGTTGTTCATTGGACGACTTGCACTTTAGACTAATTTTGACCCAAATAATAATAAGAAAATTAATCACCGCAGCTATCACCCACCTACGGAAAAACCCCAAACAAAACTCGCAGGGTAAAAAGTCCTCAATGCGGTACTTCCCGTCTTCCCCAGGTCTTCGCACTATTATTAGCTCTTCTTCACCCGTCTCCAAGGTATTCATATTGTGGTGATAATCACCCTGGAGAAGCTTGTCTAATATTGTTCTTCGTTCCGATGATTTCTTCTTATGTGCTAAGGCAGACATCACTTCTTCTTCCATCTTGTGTTTTGTGACAAGATGTCTTGCAATCTTCGCACATAGCTGGCCGCAGTAGGTAAACGCGTGCTTTCTATCATACACTCGGGCGTTATTTTCCGTTTTTTTCGTGACCTTTATATGTGCTGCAAAGAAATGAAAAGCATATTATAATAATTACCTATAGTAAAACCACTTATTCATACATTCTCTCTCCCAGACGCTTCTTTTGTAGACCAACGCTTCTTAAAAAAATTGTAGGGGGGATTAATGTCCGAATATACATCCCCCCTCAATTATCGCGCTAGTCGCTTGGTGGTACGTATGACATGCACTTTCTGATAGGTCGTCTTTGCGCATTCAACTTTTCGAATTCGTCCTTTTTTACCTGAATGACAGGACATCTATCGTCTTCAGAAGCGATGTGTTGCCACTTCTGGATGCCATTCTATAGCTTTCAAACGAGCCTTGGAGAGATACAGTTTATATATTCATTAAGAGTGTTATTCGCTGGAGACAGAGCCCTGCCTTAACTAAAGTGTTAAATCCACAGATCTCAATGAAAACCATTTCATACATGTCTTTCTTAATCCAAATCCAAAATATATTGGTTTGAACATTAAGAAGTAATTCGGACGACAAACGTCTTCTACTAACCATGGATCCTTCTTGGTCGCTGACTTTAATAATGGGCTCGTTTTTCCTCAGGTCCCACACTACACAGCGTCCGCAGGGTGATGTTGACGCAAGGATATGCGTAACTTGTCTGTTCCATCCCAGACAACTTATATTATCAGGGGGGAGTGATTTAGCTCCAGGTGAGTGGGGATTGTCTGGGGATTTAAGGTCCCACACGTAGATTTCAGAATCACAAGCACCTGAGGCAATGAGGTTTGGTTGAAATGGATTGAGATCCAGCGCTTGCACAGCACCTAAAGTGAATTTTGAGGAAATATAAATATGAATCTGGTAGCCAAAGAACAGACACAATATGGAGCTTTAGATTTGCGACAAATACGACTGCGAGATTTTTCTTTTAAAAATCTGCTGTTCCAGCCTTGTATTGTCTTTCAGTTTACACAACCCATCTGTTTAAAAACTGTTGCACCAAACCTCGTACTTTGAAAAGCTTCTGGCAGAAGACATTTAATAAATAAAATCTCGTAGTCGTAATAGATTTCGTAGTCGTACTAGATTTCATAGTCGTAGCGAGTTCACTAATAAGAGTCTTTGTCATGTGTTTTGTATAAAACCCTGGAGAGGTCTCTGTATATACAATTTTTACTTAAACAGACGTCGGGAAAAGAATACATGTTGAACCATGAAAGCATAGGCTACGTATGTGCACACGAGCGTCGTTTTCGAGCGTCTTCCAATTCCTGTCCACGCGATCCAAGGAAAACTAAGCTCAATACGTTGAATTAGCTTCAACTTCTATTGTAAATTGACGGTGTTTGAAACCGTTTTGGCGTGAAACGAACGTAAAAACGCTCGATAACGTTACCGTGTGCACATAGCCTTAGTCTTCACCACACCCGTTTTTGTTATTTCAAAATGAAGATTTGTGGTTTTGTGTTTAAAATACTCTGAGACCTGACTTTTAACTCGCAAGTACCGTACTGACGGGCACGCGCAAACAAAGTGGGCGATGCAAGTTCAAGTATAACATTCACCAGGTGATTTGAGAGTAACTTTCACCACGTGATTTTTTGACTTTTTGACTCTGCAAACTTTGTGACACCGATGTATCAGAAGTCTCTGTATAGTAACGACTTCTAATTTAAGGAGTAATATATTGTATTACATTTACAAGAAAATATTTACAGAAATACCTGTATGTTTATCACTTTGAAACAAAACCGCATCTTCTGTCTCTCCATTCAGTATTTTCAAAGGATTCCACATAACCAAATCACCACTGTCGGTTCCACCAACCAATATCCCGTTGGGTGTTTCTTCTTTCTCCATACCATATGTACCCCAGACTAATTTATTGAACCTAAAAGTTCAACATCAGTGACTTGTGAACATCTCAGGGGAACATTTAGAAAAAAAGTGAACAAAAAAATAGTGAGGGTATCCTAGCTCTAGTAGTAACAGAAAAAGTAGGTTTGAAAACTGCATTTTTATTTCAAATACTGTATTTTGATGTGTTGGTTGCTATTCTTTGGTTGCTATTTGTTGGTTGCTACACGTTTTACACCATTGTTGTTACACAATTTCAGTAATATAGGTTACATATATATGTAGATGAACATTACATTGTAGAATATACCTGTGCTCAGAAGAAAGTTTGCCTTTCACAGGCATTTCTCTGTCACCGCTTGTAAGATCAAGAGCAAAAGGCTCCAAGGCTGCTGTGGTGCTTTATAGAAAAATAATATAAAAAAAATTAAGAAAGATTTGAGTAATTATTGACACTGCTATGTAGCATATATACTTCAATCAATTCTAATAAGCTTCAGCACATACACGCCCCTGTTACACAAAACGAGATTAGTTTTTGAGTCAGATTATCTATGTTGATTAGATATACATATGGTATCAGATTTGTCTTGATTAGAAAATATCGGATTGATTCAAAGTAGAAAAAGAAATTTTGGAATTGGTAACCTTTGCAAGCATATTTGATTTCCATTTATTTTTCCCGCTAAACATATTATAACCTGGATAGAGCGATTACACAGATCATTTCGGTATTGTGTATAACTCAGGCCACTAATTGCATACTTAATAAGACAATGAGGAAAATATGATTAATTTCTTTTAAAAGCTTCGCTTACCTAATTGTGGCATCTAGTTGCTGTGCTGCAGTTCCTGCTGCAAGATATATTGGATGATGGGATGCAGGTCTCCATGCAATATTTGCAGTTCTGGCAATTTCCTTCACCTTCATTTTTGAATAATGTTGTTTAAAACCTAGTTAAGTCTCCCTATGAAATAACAAAAAACAGTTAATGCTTTGGTGGAGCACGGTGAAGGTATTGTATGTGAATGTCATATTATTGTAAATCACACAATTTAAATGCTTAACTAATTTCATGGCTAAGTAGAAATATTAATCTTTCCAATCATTTCACAGCTCATTAGGCACTTAATCTATAATGTATAAAGCTACATTTCTGTCACATGATGCTTGAGTTCTAATACACCATGTTTATTAAATATAATATACATCAATGGCCTTACTTTTTTGGGATAATCCAGGAAGAATAATCAGTAAAATCAATTTCTACTTCTACTGTACCTATCTTATATTACATTATTTACATGGTTATGCAGACAGCCTTTTTATATGTATCCAAATTGGGTTCCATGAAAATTAATCGAGTGGAGAAAAACATGAGAATATCAAGTAGCCTTTCTCACAATGACGAATGTACCCCCATTTTTGGAGTACTTTATTTTTAAATTGTGAACACAAGACTTTGTCAGGGTGTCTTTAATTTTAGGCTTAATTTATTGTTAAGTGGTCTGTGGACTCTTAAAAAATGCTTCTTACATTGCTATTATTGTTTTAAACACATTAAAGAAAATTGAAAGTACCCCCAAAATGGTGGATATTCGTCATCGTGAGAAAGGCTAATAGTAATAACCACTAGGGAACATCATTTGCATGTTGCACAAACCACTTGCATGCGCTTCTCATCGAGTGATTTTTAACTTGACTAGCAACCCTCCTAATTTCTATTGGCGGTCATGTTTTCCAGGCAGTGAATACAATATAGAAATCCAACAACGCAATGTGGATCTATGGTGTCCCACATATTTAGTAATAAGTAAACACATTATATGACCTATTGATGAAAAGATAAGCAGTTTAAATATATTCATATTGCATGTATACAGTACAGTGGTGGCACCAATACAAATATTTCAATGCAAACTCACTGATTACAGAACACAAACTGCAATATCCTCTATTGAGAAATGAAAATATCTTTTCCAACTTACTTCATATAGAAATCTCCTATTTTATCAAATAGTATGTCACCAGTTGAAACGACACCAAATATATATATACTGACACAAAAAATTACGATACAATACAATTTCAAAATATACCTTGTCTGCAACTAGAGGCATAAAACCCGACGACGCAGCAACGACAACACTTATCAATAATCCTCGCCTCACTTTATATCAAAGATCGCGCGATCTTGTCCGGGAAAAACAGCAAAATAAATTTACAGACACAATAAACCGTTCATTCGACCTCCATGAACGAGCGATTCACGTGGGGAAATGGGTACGAGTAAACGTGGCAAAAATGAGTGTACGCTTTTTTGTCAACATCAATGCGATCATCGACAAATTTCTCGCGATATCTTGAAATTAATACTAAGTTACTAACACGAATTGTGTTTATTCAATTTATAAGGTTAAATCGTTCATGTCATATGTCAATAGCTGAAAATTATAAATTAAAGTAACAACCAGTGAAATAATCAAACACACTCTTTGAATTTTATACATCGCCTATTAACATGTCAATGACTACATCACTCTCTTTTTTTTTTAACAAAACTCAGCAGAATAATTATGAAATGTTTCGTATTGTTCCCAGTATTTTTAAGTTCTAGGATACTAGTCCAGATGGTATTGCGTTACCAAATTTCCCTCAGTGGTGCTGGGATCAGATGACGGCTCAAATAATCAGCTTTCCTTCTTGTAAATCACAAGGAAGTTGTACTGTCTGTCGATTGCACAGTCGTGACGATTGCACAGTCGCAGAAAGTATATCCCACCCTTCCAATACTAACTTGCAGAACATAGTTAACGATATTAACAACTGGGCGATCCTGGAGTCGCTCCTTTTTTGGTCGATTCTCGCCTATTTTGTCGCGACTCGCGCCTATTGGCATTATTGTCCCTATTTCCTGACAGATTCTTTCATTTGTTTAGTCCTATTCAAGTTTTATAGACAGTACTGTCCAGTTGCGGTTGCGGTTCGGTTGCGGTTCGGTTGCGGTTCAGTCGTGGTTCGGTCGCGGTTCGGTTGCGGTCGAGCGATAGAAACTGCAGTGTCTGTCAGACCGAGTTAGGCCGGGGTTTAACCTCCGTCTCACCGCGGTTGGACCTCTGTCTGACCTCGGATCAACCGTGATCAGACCGGAGTTTGACCTAGATTAACCGCGGTTTTTGTTAGGTTATTTCTGGACATGTATGTAAAAAATCAATTCACTTTCCAAGATCTTGAAGGGTTATTGTTCCATCATAATAAGATCTTTAACAACATGACAAGGTCCTATAGGATCATCCACGATAGTCAATACTGTCGGATTTTGAAATGATCCTGCTGGATCTTGTTTCGTAAGATCTCACGGTATTATGGTAAGATATTTAGAATCATGGTAAGATCTTAAACGTCATCCCAAGACATTTAGGATCATGATAAGATCTTTAATGTTAATCATGATATGATGCTTACACATTTAAATTATCATTAAATTATTAAGTTTTGTAACATTGTGATAAGATGCTATAAAATTGTAGAAAGACGTTGGAGTATAGGATTTAGTAACTTCCTTTTGGATCATGGTAAGGTTCATAGGTTCATAGTAAGATCTTACCGCAGCATAACTATCATTTTGGACTAGGTGAATGCAATCGCATGAATTATATTTTAGGAACTACTTTTTCTGATGCATTTAAAAAAGATCTTGGAACAAGAAGATTAGAAAATATTTCCTTGGTTGAATTGCTAGTTTTGCCTCAAACATTTGGGTCAGTAACTTTGTATCTACCATGGACATTCTACCTAGATTGATGCAAATACGAAAATTAAAGTTGAGTTCAGTTCACTGAGGAAAATTGTTTTCAAATTATATATTAAGAAATACTGTTTAGCAATGTGGAACAGTAAAAAATAAATGAAATGCTTCTTTTTATATCTAATTGCGGTCAGTGCGATAATTAATTACTACAATGCTTTGCGCGGACGCGATGGCGTAAAAAGATTTGACGCAATAATTAGCTTTGTCATAATTGACTGACTGCGCAAGTGAAAACACTACTTTTTACGCGTGAAAATTCTTTTAAAATGGCGAGTAATCAAAATCGATATCGATTGGATAAATACTCTGGAAGAAAGTATCAGCCACCGCTTCTAGAATTTCTACAAATACAAAACTACGTCTTCTCTTTGATTAACAATGCTAAGAAAATCTTGATCGAAGAGGAAATGAACAACAACAAACTCCAAGATAGTGCAAAAAAAGACCAGGGAGAAAGTAAGAATAAATTTCTAAATATTTTAATAATTTAATTTGCAGATTTGCGATGATTTACGGCGTATATTTTACGCAAATTCATTTCAATAAATTTTTTATGTAATTAGTTGCTAAGCAAACAAAGTAGTTGCCTAGCAATAATTAATTGCCTAGCAACTGCCTCATCAATTCGCCATTCGTGCGCGCCAGTGAACTCGCGCCATTGACTCGTGCGCGCTAACGTTAACTATCACACCATCAATTTCATTCGCCAATTGCAAGCGTGAGATTTCTTAACGGCCACAGTCTTATTCTTAAAATGGTCTGTTGATTCCAAAAGAATTGCTTTTCATGTTAAACGATAACTTTTAAACCCATTTCAGAAAACCCCAAAACGTCATCGTGAGAAACGCTAATTGTGTCGTATCTGTGGTCGTATGTTAAAATATATTTCATTTATTTTAAAAAAGGTTTCGAAGAACCTCGTGAGAATGAAAAGGGAGAGCATGAAACGAAATCTCTTCACGAAGAAAGCGTTGATAAAAGTCTCCCTAATGAACCTTTTCCAGGCTTCTGTAATGAAAGTTGTGACGATGAATTTATTAATGCAGAAAGCGAATGTCCTCATGCTGGAGAGCTGGAAAATGAAACTGATCACCAACCTTCGTCGCTGAACACTCCTGGATTTATCGTTGCACTTTGTCGTGAGGGAGAACAAAATAATTTACCGACAGTTGAAAGTGAAACGAAAATCACCGGCGAAAAAGAATCCGTCGATGACCTCAGCGGCAATGACTGTGTTCAATCCTGTAGTCAGACAAGTCTCAGTGTGCAAGAGATAAACGTTTGCGACGTGCCTGGTGTTGAGGCTGACCCCACCCAGGTGTTGAGTCCCGCCGCGTCTTCGTGTCTCGAGAAGCCTCGGTCTGACTTTGAAAGTGCTTTGCCATTGAAACAGGAATCTACTAATGATCCAGTAGTGATCAGTGAGAAGGCAATCTCTCGTGATTCAGATGTTATAATTCCTGAAATGAACAGTGTTGAGGATACAGGAAATACAGGCGATGAGGTAATAAAATAATGCCTATTCTTTATTGTTTTCCAAAAAACAGCACTCGATCCCTTAAACTGCTTAGGTATGGTCACCCAAATGATAACATCAATCGAAGGGTTGCGGCACCCGACGCCGTAAAAAATCGTAAGGCTGGTAGTAAAGGTTTGAAACAGAATACTGGAATAATTAACAATGACTTTTGTTTTCCTAGAGTGAATTACCTCTTTTGCAGAGGAATTTGTTGTAACAAGTAGTAGTGGCTTTATGACAAAGAAAAACAGGAAATATATTACCTGCAAAAAGGAAAAAGAGAAAGCCAGGACGAAGGAGGTGGCAGATAAGAAAACTAAGACTAAGAACAAGAATGTTAAAGCAGATAAAAAGGGGAAAAGAAAATTTCGTCAAAGACTTCGTGATTTATTCTGCTGCTGTCTTCGCCATTCAGAAAGAGGACATGAATAGGATTGTTTAAAAATATTGACATTCCGACAGGAAAGGACCTGATATTTAGACTAGACTGTATATATTTGTAAATTATAATATAATGTATAGAAATAATTTTTTTTATATAAAGAAGAAAGACTTTCTTACCTTTTATTTGCATACAGTACTGTCCAGAAATAACCTAACACTGCAGTTCGGTTTCCGTTGACCGATAGAATGTTATGAACAGCTGAGAACGGCAACACAATAATCAAATCGAAATATATTAAGAAATGTCTGTCAGAGTCAGTCAGACCGAGTTTCGGCCGAGTTTCACTGCGGTTCGACCTAGATGTCTGACCTGAGTCGGTTTAACCCTGGTGTAACCGAGGTTTGTACTAGGTTAACCGCGCTTTTTGTTAGGTTATTTCTGGACAGTACTGGGGCCGGTTGTTTGAAAGTCGTTTAGCTTAAACGGTGGATAAGTTCAAAATGGAAAACAAATTTATCTATTTACTGAATAACTGAGCTGAAATACTTTGATGCAGGTAGTTTAATTTTCAATGGAAGTACATATTAAACGCATTCATAAGATCTATGAGAGTATTTTTGAACTTTGGCTTATTCACCGTTTAAGCTAGCTAAACACCTTTCGAACAACCGGCCCCAGTAGGTGTGGTTTTACTGCATTATTTCTGAGGTCTTCCTGACTATGCCTCCAACTTCTCATTGCTTTTCTTTTTATTAATAAGTAGCTCGCTTAGGAAGATAGCATTACCAGGGCGTATATGCCCTGGCATGACGTAGTGATCATGACCGGGCTGCCTACGTTAAGACACAAATTTCTGGCGAAACTCTTTATCAATATCACGTTTTTCTAAAATCAGTGAGGCCATAATATCAGACACTACGTTTTGAATGAGAGACACATCCTTTGCCCATTTACGGTTATTGCGTGCACCATTCTTTTCCAGAATGCCAAATAATTCATTGATTTTATCTTTCGTAGTTTCCGCGCCTTCGCGCAACATGGAAACGAGGCTTATTGTGCAAAAAACAATAATCGTATGTAATTTTTGCGGCAATTTCTTTAACAGTTTTTCCAAGATGGCGTCGAAATGTGAAAGTGGGTGAAGGAAGCTCATCACTCTCATCAGTATCGAAGGCAACTACCCAGGTTGTGGTATCTTCCTTGCAGGCGATTTTATCGTTTTAACTTTGAATGCTAGCGGACTATCCACCCAATTTAGGCTGAAACAACTTATTTGTTCTCCAACTAGAGGCGATCGTATTCTGGATCTAGTTTTGATTAATGTACCTCAAATGTACGACCAAAAAAGTGTGCAAATCTTACCCCCGTTTGGTTTGTCCGACCATAACATTGCACCCTAAAATCAGGTCCTCTCGCGAAGGTCCAAGTAGGAAAGTAATAACAGGACGGGACAACTTGGTCGGTACCTTACCTCATTAAATTGGTCTACCATTTGTACCTCTTTAATAACGTTTCGAACCATATTACGCTATCT